TTCATCTAGGGGTACTAGAGAGCCTATGGATCATTATATGGTTGACACATCCGAGGATAGGCCTCCTGCTACACAGAAGATGACCCTAGAAAATGCAAGGGAGGCACGGAGAAGAGTGTGTAAGGATATAGGCAGATTCTTCTACGAAAATGCAATTCCATTTAATGTTGCAACATCACCTGCTTATTACAACATGATTCGTTCAGTTGGAGCATTTGGGAGAGGGTTCAAACCTCCAACCATGTATGATTTGAGAACATGAATTTTGAAGGAGTTGGAAAGCATTGATAAAAGTATCGAAAAAATTAAGATGACTTGGACCCAAATAGGACTAACAATTATGTCAGATTGGTGGTCTGATATCAAACATAAAAGATCAACATCCTCATTAATAATACTTATGGTACTGTATTTTTAAGGTCAATTGAAGCATCTGACCAGATCAAAGATGCTGAGTTCATATTTGAATTATTAGATAGCATTGTTGATGAGGTTGAAGAACATTTGATTGTACAAGTTGTGACAGATAATGCAAGTTCTTATAAGACTGCAGGTAAAAAACTTATGGAGAAGAGGAAACATCTGTACTTGACTCCATATGCTGCACATTGCATAGATCTGATTCTTGAGAAGCTTGGGGAGCTACCTCAACATAAAAATGCACTTACTAAAAAAAATAACCAAGTTTATTTACAACCACCTTGAGTTCTAGTTCTAATGAGAAAATTTTTTAAGAAAGAAATTCTAAGGGCAGCAACAACAAGATTTGTCACCGCTTACTTGATCTTAGAGAGCATGTTGGATGCTAGACAATCTTTAGAGGCTATGTTCACATCTACACAGTGGTTGAGTTGTGCTTGGGCGAAGAAGACTGAGGTAAAAGAGATTAGAAAGATTGTTTTAAATGACAGATTTTGACAAAGTGTCTTATATGCCATTACAACCACTAGACCTTTAGTTCATGTTTTAAGGATGGTGGATGCTGAGAAGAAGCCTGCAATGAGTTTCATCTACAATGCCATGGATGAAGCCAAAGAGATGATTGCCTCCAACTTAGGAGGCAATGAGGGAAGCTTTAGGGAAATTTGGAATATTATTAATGATAGATGGGAGCTACAGCTTCACCGACACTTGCATGCAGCTGACTATTACCTAAACCCTCAGTATCAATATGCAGAAAACAAGTCTACAAACCATGAAATAAAGTTGGGATTGTATCATTGCGTGAATCGTATAATAAGTGATACAACTGAAAGATCAAATGCTTACATGCAATTGGTACCTTTTAGGAACAAAGAAAGCTTTTTTGGATTACAATAAGCAAAAGATACAATTGTCAAACAATCTCCAGTTGAGTGGTGGATTCAATTTGGTGATGAAACTCCAGAATTGCAGTGTTTTGCTGTGAAAGTTTTGGGCTTGACATGCTCTTCATCTAGCTGTGAAAGAAATTGGGGTACCTACAACCAAGTACATACAAAGAGGAGAAATCACTTGTCGACATTGGGGATGAATTCACTGATGTACATTATGTACAATATGAGACTTAGAGATAGAAATTTGAAGAAAAAAGGATTAATGGATGATGAAGATCCTTTGCTTTGTGAGGATGTGACATCTGATGATGAGAAATTTGTAGATGATGAAGTTGAAGTGATGTCGTTTGAATTATAAGATGAAGATTTAAATGTTGATTTATTTGATGGTCTTAAAGCATCTACATCCACCACAACTCAAGAATAAATCAAAAAAGGTATATAAATAATATAGTTTTTTTAGACTTTTATTAATGTATTACACTATTATTCATTATGATATTCTTCAAAAATATTTAGGGAAGAGGATGATAACTGATAATGAGGAATGAGCTGATTGGGAGACATTGGACTCTATAGGAGAGGAGGAAGAGTATAGAGCAGTTCATCATAATGATGATTCAAATAAAGACCCACTTAGTGATGACTGATGAGTAGTGATAGTGCTGATGACTAGTGAGTTCTTATGTGATATGTCAATGTCATTGCTATTTATGTTATGCATTTTTATATTTTATATATTATTTACTCATTAGTATACAAAATTTCTCATTTTATGTTTACGCAATTTTTTTATTTTGAAACTTACGCCTCAAAATGCTTTGAGGCTTACGCCTCGCCTCACGAACAAAAAATACCTCAATACCCGATTACGCAATTTTAAACCTTGACCTCCATAATCCATATTTACCTTCAATTCCCACTCTAGTCTTATCAACAAAAAGAATATCATCAACATCAAGTAAACACCAGGGTACAACCTCTTGCAAATGTCCAATGAGAACATCCATGACTAAAGCAAAAAGATATGGGCTTAAGGTTGATCCTTGATGTAATCCAACTAAAATAGGCTAATACTTGGTCAAACCACCTTGTGTTTAAACACAAGTAATAGCTCCTGCATACATATGCTTAATGAGTTAAATATAGGCATTATTAACCCCTTTTCTAGAACTCTCCATATCACTTCTCTTGGAACTTTATCATATGCTTTCTTTAAATCAATAAATATCATATGTAGATCCTCCTTATTCTCTCAAAAATTCACCATTAAACCTCTCAATATATGTATAGTTTTCATAGCAAACCTACCCAGCATGAATCCAAATTGATTTTTAGAAATGATTAATACTATAATTAGAAAATTGAAGTGAAAAATTTTATAATTATACCATTAAATTTGATATTTACATGTAAATAAAAAGCTAATTATATTATTTAGAATAATTAACTTATAGCGTATAAACACTTAATATGTTTAAAATTTTATTTTTGCTTAAAACTTCTATGGCAGCTTATTAATATATTTATGTTTGTTCAAAAAAAATTAGATTTTTTTAGCTCATTTAACACAATCAAAATTTTATGATAATGATGTAATAAGTAGGATTAATAAAGTAACTATATTATACTTAATAAATTTGGGCTTGATTCAAATTCCATTGGATTCATTAAGTTTTTTATATACAAATTTTTATATCATATTAATATGCTTTATATTAACAAATATTAGGATTTTTACAAATACTAGTTCTTTCCTTCGAGATTTGGCCAAAATACTGAACATCGAAGCCACACCAATTTGACCATATTGAGGTCTACTTCCAAGCACAATAAGGGTTAGTTTTGCTAGTTGTTGGAAAGGCGTTTTAGAAAGATTTTTTAGGCATCTTTTGGTATATTTTGATAGGGCTTTTGTACCTATAAATATTAGATGTTTGAAGAAAAAATGTAAAGGAAAACTCAAGTGATAAGGTTTTGAGAATTGTTACTATAGTCGCGAGTTCAAACATCTCCCATGCGATGATAAATTTTCAAGACGTAAAGAGCTTTCAAGATCTTGTTGGAAGAAAATTAAGAGGAAAAATCAAGTGTTGATAAATAATCAAAGCTACTTGGGGCATTCTTGTGGAGATAGATGTCCATCAATCTCTCTAGCTTTCTAGTATGTTATTTTACATTGTATCTTTTGCAATCTATTATAGAGATTGAATGTGTAGATTTGTTAGGAGAAAAATATAGGTCACCATCAAAACCTTGAAAGATTTTGATTGGCGTTTCTATATCATACTGTTGTGGTTGTTCTTTTGTACCTATAAATACTAGATGTTTTGAAGAAAAAATGTAAAAGAAAAATCAAGTGATACGGCTTTGAGAATTGTTACTAAAGTCACGAGTTCAAACCTCTCCCATACTGTGAAAATTTTTCAAGAGGTAAAGAGCTTTCATGATCTTGTTGGGAAAAAATTAGGAGGAAAAATCAAGTGTTGATAAATAATCAAATCTACTTGGGGCATTCTTGTGGAGATAGTGTCCATCAATCTCTCTAGCTTTCTAGTATGTTATTTTACATTGTATCTTTTGCAATCTATTATAGAGATTGAATGTGTAGATTTGTTAGGAGAAAGCCATAGGTCACCATCAAAACCTTAAAAGATTTTGATTGGCGTTTCTATATAATAATGTTGTGGTTGTTCTAGTGAGACTTGAAGAAGCTTCAGATATAAAGCTTGTCTTAGTGAGGAACTTTTGTTGGAACAAGCACTATTTTCTAGCCCTTGAATCAAAATTGTGTGAAGGTTTCTCCACCTATTTCTTGAAATAAATGAGTTTAAATTGTGGTGGAAATTTACGTAGTCTAATCCGAAGCAAAGGGAGGGCTTAAGCGTGGATATAAGTTGGTTTAGGTACTGAACCATGTAAAAATATTTGTGTAAAACTTGCTTTATGATTTAGATTTACTTTCTTACACGTTTGCTTATTTATGTTGATTTCTTGAATATTCATGTTGTAGATGTTTTATTACATGCTCTAGTCCAAACTTTGGTAGAGAGAGATCTATATTATTATGCACAAATTAGTAGCTAGCATAGATCTATTTACCCCACCATATCTTTATTGTGGACATTTGTAGTGGTGCTTTGGTGTATTTTGAATCAATAGTCCATAAGCTTATGCAATACTATCAATCAATTTATATTGAGCTGGCTAGTTTCAACGCTCTCACAATTAACATCATGCTCAACACAACTGCATCTTTGTGTGACTAAAAAATCTAACAGGAAATTTATTTACAATTTTCAAAGGAATTTCAACAGACCTTGTAATACTCGGCCTCCAAAGTTATTCCAACTAACTAAACAACATGCAAGAACAAAAAAACTGGACAGACTTCAAGCGCATCATCAAACACAAACTTCCAATGCTCAAGACTTCACATTATACATCGATAGAGTTGAAAAAGGTCATTAAATGATAATATGGGATCTTAATATAGGCACATGATATGAAAATAAAAATAAAAATAAAATCAATTTCACCTAAGGTAATTTATCAATTGTTTAAAAAAGAAAGTTCATAGCCCTGAGAATTTTCAAGTCCATCATTTCCAGCAGAACTCAACAGTTCATAAGAAATGGAGATCCAGGCAGCCCCAATAATTCTCAAAGGTAACTCCATACTAACCTCCAGTGCTCAATAATTCTTCGGATGCATGTCTCTTTTGTACCACTTATCATAAGATCGTGCTTTCTCAAATAGGCTTTGCACTCTTCCAACTTCAGTACATCCAATTTTTTGCTTCCTGTATGGCAAAAATTAGCAAAGAAAGTTAAAATAGCTTGAATAATAAGCCAGCATCATTATTCATCTTAATTCAGCACAGCATATCTCGTAAGAGGAGCTTCTTTGAGATATATGATTGAGGAAAGGTTTGATAAAAATTACTTTGGCGAAGAAGATTGACAACTTTGTCACAATGATCTTTATCTGTCGGTTTACCCTCTTTCCAATCACAAACTTTGTCGCCATCGTCCTCATTGCTCTCGTCATCGCTGCTTATCCAGCCAAAATCCGTAAACATCATCAAGACAACCAATAATAAGCACACTCCACTGTAGGCTATACTTCACAATAACAGATAAATGTGAAGCAAAGGAAAGATGAGACCTAATGGACTCGTAGTACTCATCCTCGTCCTCATCATCATCCTCATCAGAACACCCATCGGATTCAACGTCTCCTTCCTGATCTGAATCTGACTCCTCGTCTTCATAATCCTCTTCCAGGCTTTCTAGCTCTTCTTCCTCCTCTTCGCTTTCGTTGTCGTCTTCATCTGTTTGCCCTAGATAAGAACTGCTTTCTTCTTCGTCTTCATCATCTTCTACAACATTGTCTGAGTAGGAATTTAAGATAGCTTGCTTCGCCTTCGACATAGAATTGGCGGCAGCCAATTTCTCCGGCGAACAAATCGGAGTACGAAGTTTAAGCTAATGAAGACAGCACGCCCAATTTTAACGGACTCGAGCGCAGGGCAAAGTATACTTTGCCGGGTGGCGCTAAGTGCGGAGTGACGTAGAGGAGTCCAATGAAATGTTCATACGGTTTAAAATTTGATTTTTTATATTATTGGATATTTGTTAATTATTTATTATTGAATATTTTTATTTATTTATTAAATATTTTTTGAATATTTATTGTATATTTAATACTTAGTAAATATACAGTAAATACTTCGTAAATATGCAGTAAATATATAATAAATATTCAACAAAAATATTTAATAAATACTCAACAAATACTCAATAAATATTCAGTAAATACGCAAGAATCCGGACGTTAACTCTATGCCCGGACTCCGCATGTAATAATTTCTCGACGCGAAGAGCTGACTACTCCAACGAAAAGATAAAATAAATATTAAGAATTAGAACATATTTAAATAAAATAAAATAAAATTATGGATTGATGTTATCTTAATTAAAAATATTAATAAAAAAATCTTTAATATTTTAAATTATAAGAATTGGTCTTAAAATTAGAAATATTTGAATGTATTTGTTATTCCTAATATTTCCCAATGAATTTGTTTCCTATAATGAATGTCCATCAATGAATAAAGTGGTTTGAAATATTTTAAGGAATATAAATTACTTTATTTTATAATTTTATATTGTGGAAAATCTGATTTAATTTTTCGTATTATGAAGTGAGAAATTAATTAAAATGATACCTCTTGAAAATAGAATTTTTATTTGTGGATATTTAAATAAACATATTGATAGAGTGATAGAAAATTTAAAAAAATTAATGGTAGTTTTAAGTTTGAAGCAACTAATAAAGATGATAAGATTATATTAGATTTATCTATAGCTTATAATTTTGTAATTTTTACTACTTTATTTAGGAGAAGAGATGAGCATTGATCAATTATAAGAACTGACATAGTAAAACTCATATTAATTATTTTCTTATATATATATATATATATATATCATTTAGATTACATATTGTAAAGTCATTCAAAGTGAAAGTTTATATACTCAACATCACTTATTAGTTTTGGACTTCAAGATAAATTGGTGGAATAAAAAAATAAAGTAAAACATTATAATGAGATTAAATAGGGGCATTTAAAAAATACTAATAATAATATTTTTTAGAGTAAAATTAAATATCTTAAGATTTGGGTTGTTCATAAAGAAGCTATTATTAAATGAGAAAAGTAGATAATGATATTAAAAATATTACAAAGTATTTTATTGGAGAATAAAAAACAAAAGCTTCGAATATAAAAAAATAGTTGAGGTGGAATAAAATGTATAACAAAAAATAAAAAATAAGAATCTTTGTTTAGAAAATTAGTTTAGATGTAAATATTCAAAAAATTGAGAAAAATATAGAGGGACCCATAGAAAGTTTAAGAAAATATTATGTGATATAAAGAATTTAGCTTTTAGAAATTTATATTATAGATTAAATACTAAAGAGGACAAAAGATGTATGTATAAGTTAGTTAATCAAAGAGATAGAAGAAGTAAGGACTTATTTTAAGTGAAGTGCATTAAGATGAATATAAAAAAGTATTATTTTTAGAAGTGGATATTCAACATATGTGGATGATATATTTTTATAAGCTTTTAATGAAGATTGTGAGAATACAATAGACTTTAGTGACTTTAGCACCATAAATAAAAAATAGAGATTTTTATTTTTAATATCGCATCAGTAAAATTAAAGTTGGAGAGGTTTTAAGGAAAATGAAGTGTTGAAAAGCAATTGGACATGATGATATTTCGATAAAGGTGTTCAAATGCTTAGGATATGAAGGTATTTCATGGCTTGCTAAACTTTTAAGTATCATTTTAAAGATTAAAAATATGTCTGATAAGTGGAGAAGGAATTTATTTGTTCCTTTTTTTAAGAGTAAAGGTGATGCATAATAGTATGCAAATTTATATAGGAATTATGTTAATATGTCATACATTAAAATTATGAAAGAGAGTAATTAAGCATTGGTTACAATGTGATACTAATATTTTTCAAAATCAATCTGTATTCAATCGAGGTAGATCTACTATGTAAGCTATACATTTGTTGAGAGGTTTGATAGATAAGTTTAAACAGAGCAAGGAGGATCTATATATTATATTTATTAATTTAGAAAAATCATATAATTATTTTCAAAGAGAAGTGTTCTAGAGAGTTTTAGAAAAGGAGTTAATAATACTTATATTAAGTCATTAAGGATAAGTATATAATAGGTGTTACTTGTGTTCAATGACAAAATGGTTTAACCAAGTATTTTCCAATTTTTGTTAGATTACTTACATCAGGATCATCTTTAAGCCCTTTTTATTTTTTTCATGGATGTTCTTATTAGACATTGTAGGAGGATGTACCTAGTGTTTCCTGGTGATATTCTTCTTATTGATTAGATTAGAGAGGGAGTTGAAAGTAAACTTGAATTATAGAGGCCAACCTTAGATTCTAAAAGTTTTCGTATGAGTAGAACAAAAATTGAATACATGGAGTGTATTATTTATTAGTAATAAATCTAGTGGTGGGATTATGACACTAGATGATCAAGTCATTAAAAGGAGTGCATATGTTTTATATCTTCAAACTATTATTCAATGCGATGGTAAAATAGATGGGAATATTATTAGTAGAATTCATATTGGATGATTGAAGTGGAGGAATGTATTGGGCCTATTGTGTGATAGACAAGTACCCTCAAACTTAAGGAAATTTTTTATAAGATGGTGGTGAGATCTGTAATATCTTATGGTTCAGAATGTTGGCTATTTAGTGAGAAGCATAAATTAGGTTAACTGTTATAGAAATGAGGATGCTTAGGTGGATGAGTGGTTTTACACTTAGATGTATAATGTGAAACGAGTATATACATAGAAAGGTCAGAGTAGCTCTAGTGGAAAATAAGATTAGAGAGTTTTCTTATATGGTTGGGTTACATAAAATGTCATCCTTTTGATAACCCGATTTAGAGAGATGTATTAGATCTAGCCTATGTTTAAAAAGATAAAGGTAGACCTAAAAAGACTTGGTTAGAAAGTGTTAGAAATAACATTTCTATTAGATTTAAATGAGAAATTGGATCTTAATATGACACAATAGAGAAAACAGATTGATGTAACTGACCCCACATAGTGGGGTAAAGTCTTGTTGTTGTCTTTGTTATTGATGATGAGGTAAACAATGGAAAGGGGATGATATGGCTAATGAAGATGATGCTCTTACAATTATCCTCATGATTCAAGTAGGATATCACAAACATAGAGAGGGGAAGCATTAACACAAATTAAGCTAATGATTAATAAAGATTGAAGTAGGTTTGTCTTGTTGTCAAAGATGAAGAGACTTGTCCTTGAGAGAACAACGATGAAGTTGACAACGACAAAAGCACGTATAAAAGTTGTTCGAAGGGAAATAACTTGAAAATGAGACCTAGGCAATTGTAATTTCGGACAAGATTGTCACTTAGGAAGCAATGATTATAATATCTTTCATGTTACAATGCCATCGAAAAAATGTGCCCACATTGGAGACTTGCCCACATTGTTACAAGGATGTGGTGCTTGAGTCCTTGTGGCAAGAGGAGGTGACACCTTCAATCTTGATTTATATTTGATAATAATATGGAGGAGACATTACCCAAATGCATTTAATATGTTTAGCTTTGTTGCACCCCATGAGTCTAGTGTACACTAGGATTTTAATGATCACAATTGTTAGTTATGCTAATTAAAAGTATAGTTATATGTGTAGGTTATTATTTTTACACTAACATTTAAAGTAAATCAAAGGACAACTAATAAAGCAGTATTTGGCACACAAGAGATGGCATAAGAAGGTGAAACTAATTGAGCTTTTAATTAAAAATGAGAAGACACTCAAAGATAAGAAGATCTCAAGAAGTTAAGTGATTGTCGATCTATTTTGTTTCTTTCAATCTTTTTGTATTCTAGATTTATTGTGTTTTAAATAAGAAATTTAAATGTTAATAAACACTTGATTTTTTTTTTATTTGTACTATACGATGAGCAAGACAATTATTATAATTTATGATAATTAAGCAATTTTAATTAACAAAAAATTAGAAGATCAAAATTTTCATAACAAACGATAATGTATGATATTTATCATCTTAGATGACTAGCTATTTCAAATTAAACCACAAACTCTCTCAATATATATATTATTTCCAAAAATATGTAATTTTGAATTTGTACTAATCGTATTATATGAACCCATTCATATTGCATGAATTTTTAATATCTTAATAAACATTTACCTATTTTAAAATATAAAATTATGGAGTCAAATGGAAGATAATTTCATACTATATGATCTCTATCGTACAATCCAACCGATAGAGAACTTATTTAGATGACGATGCTAGGCTAAATTTTAATATTTAAAATATCCAAATTCATTATTCTATTTGATTCCTTTCATTTGAGTTGTCACCTAATGAGAGAAAGGGAGAGATTCCTAGAGAGGAAGTCCATTTTGAGATGCTTTAGATCATTTTTTAGCTGACGGCTCAGTTCTAAAAGTTACCCGGCTTGAGATAGGTTGCATTTTGCCTATCTCAATTTTTCATAATTTCACAATTTTAAAAATTTTATGATTAAAAATATAAATTTCTTGTGTTTGAACTGAGATAACTTTTAAATAGGGAAACTTTATATTTGCAACTTTTGATATATTATCGAGAACATAGTTCTAAACATTTAGATATTTTTCTATAAAATATTTGTTACGTGTTTTTTAAATGCCGCTCTTTTAAAATTAAAAAAAATATATTTAGCCACTAAAAATAATACTGTAGAATAATTAAACCTCTGAAATGTAGTCATGTATAATCTTTGGTAATTTGGTAGAATTCTGAGTAAGTGAAACTTTGCTAAATTGTACTAGGTTTGACTACTAAAATGCTTCCTATAGGGTAAAATTCTAAAATTTTATAAATAGCCCAATTTATGTTTAGCTATTTAAATGTAATATTATGTCGCACAATTTACATATTGTTCATCTTTGGATGATATTTTATCTACATC